GAGGGAGACACAGAATCCGAAACGGGCTCCAGGCTCTGAGCTGTCAGCACAGAGCCCGACACGGGGCTCGAACTCACGGACCGCGAGATCGTGACCTGAGCCCAAGTCGGCCGCTCAACCGACTGAGCCACCCAGGCGCCCCAAGATCTTCAGATTTTAAAACTGCATCTTAACTTTTAATATACCAGGAAAAATAGTCATTGCCATTTACCATCTGGGTCCAGTGAATCTTTAAAATAAAATAATTATAATATGTATTTAAGTCATTTTATTAATAATTTATGAAGTATAAAGGGGTAGTTCAATTAGAAACTTTAATAAGAATTTAAGCATGATAAACACAATTTTTATTCCATATATTTTGGCTTTGAAGATGTATACACACACACACACACACACACACACACACACACACTTTAAAGGTAGATAGATATATGTCAGTTGAATGTGACCACCTGCTCATCACTTGCCAGGCACGAACCTGCAACATATCCATCTTGTAAATAGTAACTCTAGATTTCAAATACAGTTCTATTAGGTTCTAGTTTATCATTACTTATGGTTCTTTTGCACTTGCATCGTGAAAATACAAAACTTAAAAAAAAACTTTGATGATATGATTTTATTGAAGGATGGCAATTATTGGAAAACATTTAAAATTTTTTTAGATCTATAAGCATCAATTAGAATGAACAGTCCAGTAATTTTTTCATTTCCACATCGTTTATATCCTTTCAATTACCTTTGTATATACAAAAATGCTGTCTTCAGCACTTTACAACTCAGGAACTATATCAAGTAAATTTTGGTGAATAAACATCATAAAAAGTGAAAAAATACAACCACACCACCCATTTAGCAAAATTAGATGGCCCAGGTCCTTATAAAATTTGCATGATGACTATTGAATAAGTGGATGAAAATACCTGATATTCTAATTGTGCTTAGAAATATATGGTTCACTCATTCATTCTTGAGTTTGAGAAAACAGACTTTGAATACACAGTCTGAAGACTCATGATCTGAGATTTTGCTTATGTGGTCAATTTCATCAACATCATTAGGATCCAGAGCACTGCCCTCTGTCTCTTTGCATTTACCTTCTGATTCCTTTAATAATTATGGAAATTCTGTTAATTTCCTTCTACTTGTCATTATAGTAAAAACAAAGAAATCTAAACTATTAACTGTAATCATCATTGAAAGCCTTAAAAAAAAAAACTCTAAAGATGGTGTCTCTCTAGACCCTTATATCTTCTTAAAAGATAATGCAATACTTTGGGCAATGTTATGTGAAAACAGAAGGATCCTCACTTATTTTACTGTTATATATACTATTACATTCTTCTAGGTGTTTCCATCATCATTCCATTTCCTTACTATTTTAGTCTTTTAAAGCACAGTTGCAGATAGTTGATTAGTAATAATTAAATAGTTGCTGGGATGATGAAATAAAATATTTCAAAAGATGTAGGAAAAATTAAATCAGAGATCCCATAATGTATCTTAGAGTTATAGAAGGGTCCAGTGGACCTCTATGGGAATTGAAAAATATGAGTTTTATTCTATTTTTAAAAAGTAAATTTTCTTTTTATCCCTTGGAGAATATTAAGAGACTAAAAGTCATGAAATATCAATCTTTATAAAGTTAGCACTGCTCAAAAAAGAAACCCAAAGCTAAAATTTTGTTTAATGGACTCATGTGATATCTCTAGGGTTAAAAGATCATAAAACATTTTCAGATAAAGTCATGGGGGAGAAAAGTATTTCTTAGAGAACTAAAAACTTTGTAAAGGCCAACTGTTCCATCAATCTAGATCACAGGGGCAGAGTTTTGGCCCATGTTTTCTTTGGTGGAAGTGCCACTTATTCCCCCAAAGGGCTAGGTCATGTGGCTTTTTTTGTTCTTGAATATCCTCTCAGGCCACAGATAATTGGTCCAGGGGTAGACAGTTTTGAATACAAATTACTCCTTTTACATATTTTGAATTGTAATAAACACGGGACACTGGAGCCAAAGAGATAGGTGAGAGCTAGCAGCACACAGACCCCAAAGTCTTACACAAAACTAAATTGCAAAGAAGGAGAAAAGAAGACATTTTCAGAGAAGTCAAGCTATAAGCAGAACGGGGCATATATTCAGAATCCAGACGACATGGCTCAGTGTGACAGAGTGACAAAACCTGGCTGAACTTCCTGCAATTTGAATTACATTATTTTTTTTTAATGTTTATTTATTTTTGAGAGAGACAGAGACAGAATGCAAGTGGGTTAGGGGCAGAGAGAGAGGGAGACACAGAATCCAAAGCAGGCTCCAGGCCCTGAGCTGTCAGCACAGAGCCTGACGCGGGGCTCAAACTCATAAACTGTGAGATCATGACCTGAGCCCGAAGTCGGATGCTCAACCGACTGAGCCACCCAGGCGCCCTGAATTACATTCTTTTATTTTCTTTTTTGAAAATTTTATTTATTTGGGGGGGGGTAGGGGGCAGAGAGAGAATCCCAGGAAGGCTCCATGTGGAGCCCTATAAAGGGGCTCAAACTCATGAACTATGAGATCATGACCTGAGCAGAAATCAAGAGTCGGGTGCTTAACCAACTGAGCCATCAGGCACCCCTGAATTATATTCTTTATAACAACCTATATGTAAGTTAGAGTTGGGCTTCTGTTTCTTGAAAACAACAAATCCCTAAAACAGAAATTAGTGCCAGCAATGGGACTGCAAGTCACAGACTCTGAGTGAAAATGAAGAACTAGCTGTGGAATCAAGGCAGAGGGATAAAGGCAGGAGTGACAGAAAGGATTCCTTATGCCATGGAAAACTGGGTAGTATGGAGGTAAGAGTTGGCAAAATAGCTAAACAATTGTCTAAAATTTCTTGGGACCCAAACCACATGTCACTAAAGGCCAAGCTTAGATTTAAAAGTTGTCAAATGTCAAAATGTAGGATTAATTCCCTATGGACATGATTAAAATGCAGTGGCAAAAAGTTTTCTATACCCAGTTGGCTAAAAGCAGATAGGGAAAAGCAAAATTACGTATCTGTTTCATAAAGGTAAGTCTTTTCTAATGAGATTGTTGAAGACGAGGTCCAGATACCATTCATGAATTTGGAAAAGCTCAGGGCTCAGGAGCCTAGCAATTGAAAGGCTATCCAGTAGTAGCTGGAAACCCAGCCCTTTTCCTCAGGATAAACATATTGATTACTATCACCCCTGCTAGCTCCCAACCCTTAGTAAATCACTTCCTTAGACTGGAGGGGAGGGATTTTTAGGGGTAGACCAAGGTGGAAGTTCTTCCTGTTTTGCAAAACCTTTTCCACTTTTCCTCCTTTATTCTCTTGAGGACCGGGCCATTAAGAACAATGGGTCTAAGAGGAGCCAAACTAACAAAAATCCTGAGGAAATGGTCATTAGGTAGCCTGGTAATTAAAGAAGCAAACTTACCCACACAGAAATTCCTAGCATTGACTTTCAGTCAAGGATGTACTCAAGAAAGATGGTGATTGAAAACTCTCTAAAATTCTGGGGTAGTTATCATCAGAACCTTAGTCTTGAATAAGTACCTATGCCAACTCAAATCAACATGGTGTTTAGTCCTGGTCTCTTTTGGAGGCTTGAACTCAAGTAGAAAGGATGCTGGCACCGGACAACACTTACTAAAGTGGAGAGAGGAGGCTTGAAGGGGACAATGGTAAAAGGAAATCCTTCTAGTGGACAGATCCTAGGACTGTTAGGCATGATTTGGGAACTTATTCTACTGTCAAGAGGGTCAAGAAACAGACTCAAGACATTTATTTCGGAGCAGACTAGTGACCAGTACGTGATCCTGTTTTCTAGGTTTCTTCTCTACCTCTAAGTCAACCTCATTTTTACTTTTACTGACTTTTTTCCTGTTGTTATTGGCACGATGGTAGTAAATGTGCCAGTAAACCCAGAGGAGGTCATTCTGGCAGGATCATTACAATGACCAGACTGTAATGGAGACTGAGGAGCAATCATCTGCAGCTGTCCCTGTAATACTGGATTACGCTGGGCAAGACGATCTTGAAGGATGAGTTGCTCCACAGAGAAGAAATATAGTGGTTAAAATGTTAGTAGAATCGACCTAGTCCACAGCTACTTCTTGGGAATGATTTCAAAGCCCCTTTTACCTGGTGCCCCCATTCTCAAAGCTTCCACAAATGGTTGTGCAAGGTTGTGTGCATACTGTATATTTCTGTGAGGTCCTGCCCCATCATCCTGGCCACAAATGATAGAGACCCCTGATCGCACTGAGTGAGATCTAAGAGGAGTTGTGAGGTTCTGCAGAGTTGGGTTCGAGTTTGCACCATGTCAACTCAAAGGCATGAATGCCAAGGCTATGGAGACAGGGCTAACATGTCACCCTGTATGGAGTAATGAAGTTACTATCAAGTAGTAATGAAGAGGCCTTCAGAGAAATCAGTTCACAGAGAATAAAGCAGTCACATAGATGATTAGGGGTAAGAGAAAAAGAACGAAGAAGAGAGACAGAGGGAAAGAGAGGAAGAGGGAGAGAAGAAAATAAGGAAGGTAGGGCACAGAGAACTAGACATAGAAACAGTCAGAGGCAGCTAGAGACAGAGAGAGATGAACTGTTGGTGACCTCCTAGGTACCACAATGTCCAGCTATACTTGTTATAATTAAATTCCAGATTTTTTTGATTCAACAATTTCCTATTTACAAGCTATTTTAGGTAGATTTGATTCTTGCAACCAAAACAATTCTTGACCTAAACATCTGCTCGTTGACTGTAGCTGCATCTTTTCAATGATTAATTTGCAACTATAGAAATACATATGCTGCCTAACATAACTGGGACACTGTAAAAAAGTGAGGCTGTCAAGAGAGAGGGACTATTTGTAACATCTAAACACTTTCAAAGACAGACTTGGTTTTATACTGGAATAATAGCTAACATTTACTGAGCACTGCCCTTGGGCCAGTTTCAAAAGCTGTATATGCATGATCTCACCTATTCATGACAACCGTAGGTTTTATTATTATCAATGCCATTTTACAGATAAAGAAATTAAGATACAAAGAGATTAATTTGCTAAAGGTCACACAGTAAGGGGATAAAGGTAGAGTCTACTGTTTATTTACATTAAAGTTGGCATTTGGGAAAAAAAGTATGCATTCATTTAAAATTCATTTCAGTTGGTAAATTCTTGCCTATTACGTACAAAGTACTGATTTAAACAAAAAAACTGGTTAACACTGATGTTACAAATATAAAGTCCTTTTAAATATCACTATTCAAAATAAATCATCCTTTCTGTGGCATGTACACACACACAAAAAGATGTGCTTTGAAATTAAGTTTTTCGGTTTCCAAAATATCTCCTTTAGAACAGAAGGGGACACGTTCCGACAATGCTATTTTCCACACCTTATAACCATTTCAAACTTCACTGGAATATCTGCAGATGACCTGCTGCAGGCCAGACTCTCATGAAAAGAACCTTGATTTCAGAGAAGGAAAGTTACATTGATAAACACATATCCACTTAATTAATTGCACTGTAAGTTACATGTATATAAAAAAAGTAAAATGACAAGAATGAGAGGAGTTTTTCATGGAAGGTGGTGGGTAGCCATGGAGTCTGCTTCTCTTGATTTTCTGAGCAGGGCTTGTCTGAGGGCACTAATTTTTTCATCAAGTTCAGCCAGTGAATAATTCTGCTGTAAACAAGAATAGAAATTGCTGAATAAGACTCTGAAGTATCTTAATGCAGATAAAGGGCTAAATGAACTAGAAATACTGACAATACAGTAAATGTCTTTTTTTTCCTTCATAAGAGTAATTTTTAAATGTTTTTATTATTATTATTATTATTTTGAGAGAGAGAAAGAGAGCGCAGACACATGAGTGAGGGCAGAGACAGGAGGAGCAAGCTCTGTGCTATCAGAGCAAAGCCTGACAAGGGCCTCGAATTCTTGAACCGTGAGATCATGACCTCACTCAAAACCAAGAGTCGGATGCTGAACCGACTGCACGACCCAGGTGCCCCCATAAGAATAATTCTTAAATTGAACTATTTATGTTGGCTATATCAGATAGGCAGAAAATAACAAGGCTTAAAATATTTCATACTTTTTTTCTCTTTCCTAATGAGGAAGCTCTCCTGGATACTTCTAAAGGATTGTAAAAACTTTTCTTTAACTGACTACTCTCACTTTGAAAGGATTGTAAAAACTTTTCCTTTAATTGACTATTCTCACAGTAAAAAAATTAAACTTTAGGATTAGCTTAACTGCTAGAAATTCTCTTTTGATGGATCAACTGCAAGCAACTACCTCTCCTGGAGAACACGGATGCTCTCAGAAATTTATTCAAAATTTTACAAAAAAAAAAATAAGTAGAAAACTATTCTTCAAAAATAAACCAAAAAATTTTTTTAAGTTTTCTCCAACTTTAAATTTACATTACTACCATTAACAGCTATGAGAACCTCACTAATTAAGATTCAACTAATTAATATAGTAGGACTGTGGACAGTGGTAGGCTGAAGTCAACCTCTGCCAAACATCCTTTTTGGATTTAGATGCTGCTAATTAGTAGGGTCAGCAAAAGGGGGAGGGGCGGGTGGGGTGCCTGGCTGTCTCAGTCTGTAGAGCATAGGGCTCTTAATCTTGGGGTTCCTGAGATGGGGGGGGGATTTAAATTACCTAGCATTTATTATTTTTCTGCATTTGGTAATTGATACATTCTGCCACAATTAACAGCTAGATACTTTCACATTTATATGACTCATATGAATCATTCCTTACCCTTGAAATAAAATTATTTAACTCAAGTTCATTAATTTATGCTGCCCCCTTTTTTTTTCAATCTTGAATCCCAGGGTATGATCTAAAAACAACCAGTGTAGAAACTTTTATTGATGAGAGGCATAAAATTTATCCAACTATTTCAGAAGCCACATGAGAATTCAGTAACTTACTTGAGGTGGTTGTACTTTTCTTCTTTTTCCGGAAAAGCTCTAGATAAAAAGAAAGCAAGTAATCAATGCTTAGAAAATATAAACAATTTTCCTTTATAGAATACTGAACACAACACAGAGAACCCTGGCAGAAACAAAGCCCACAGAACTCATCAAGCACTATCTGCCACTAATATCTGCGTCCTTGTATCTTGGAAGATACTCTCTAAAAGATGATCTTAAAAGTATATAGTAATAGGGTGCCTGGGTGGCTCAGTCGGTTAAGCATCTGACTCGTGATTTCTGCTCAGGTCATGATCTCAATGCTCAGATCAAGCCCCGAGTTGGACTCTGTGCTGACAGCAAGGAGCCTGCCTGGGATTCTCTCTCTCCCTCTCTCTTTCTACTCCTCCTCTGCTAGCACTCTCTGTGTTCTCAAAATAAGTAAATAAACTTAAAAAAAAAAAACAAAACTATATAGTAGTAACATCAAAGCAACATGCTCCTCCCTGGCTACACACACATTCCCATTAATTCCCAGCTTCTAATGAGGGGGAATAATTATGGAAGGAGATGCTGTGGGGACTTTCTCTACTTAGTTTCCTTTCTTAGCCTTTCAGGATACTGAACAAGTGAAGCAATAGAGGAAAACAGAATTTGGAGTACCAGGTGAAAACACACACATCCTTGGTTGACTCTGATGATCACTGGTTGTCTGTACAAGCAGCTACCCACTGCTCCTCTATAGGACTCGGGAATGCTGATCGTATCCCACTGGTCTTGTCAGCGACTAGAATGGACATGGGCCCAGTTGTGGCCAATGAGTAAGAAGAGGTTTGCTGGAGACTCGGGAGAGAGCTTCTGGAAAAAGCTTTCTCACTTCTAAGAGAAAGCCTTCAAAAGAGGCAGTTCCTCTGGACACTGCTATGTCTGAATAGGACACCTGAAAGTAGCTGTCTTGCAATCTGCCACTGGGGGAAAAGCCAATACCAAGCAGAGCTGAGGGGGAAAGAGCCCAATTCTTTGACAACCATGATTTAGCCCAAGAACCAATTAACCCTGAAGAGTGTACTACCATTGAACTTCCTACTTTGTAAGATAATTTCCATGCTGTTCAAGCCAATTTAAGTTTAAATCTCTATTACTTAAGCTGACAACATTCTCACTGACATGCTGCTGAGCCTTTTAAACCTTGGCCAAATGAATTTCTAGATTTTCTTAGTTTCACAGAACCATAAGCTTCTGAATGGCAAATTAGTATATCGGTATATTTGACAAAGAAACTGTCAATGTAGGTGGCAAAAATTTCTCACGAATATTTCTGACCACTAAGATTTAGAATAAAAGGTAAAAACTTTCATTTTCCTTTGTGTCAAAAGCTGTTTCAAAGAATACTGAGGTATGCTTCTTTATCAGTAGTTACAGTAAGTGGGAAATCATGAAGTGTTGTAATTGTTTTTTTTTTTAATGTTTATTTATTTTTTAGTGAGATACAGAGTATGAACAGGAGAGGGGCATAGAGAGAAGGAGACAGAATCTGAAGCTGTCAGCACAGAGCCCGACTTGGGGCTCAAACCCATGAACTGTGAGATCAAGACCTGAGCTAAAGTCGGACACTTAACCAACTAAGCTATCCAAGTGCCCCGAAGTACTATAATTATTAAATATGGGGGGAAAGGTGTTTATATAAACAGGTTTCTTCCTTTGCCAAACTAAGCTGGATACCTGTGATGGGGCCCATAGGCAGGTAAGGGCTTAAGGTTTAATTTTGGTCAGATGACTCCTCAGTCTTCTACCTTCCCAAGGGGTGCCTTTTTACACACTGATTAAAATATACTTCCCCTTGTCTTCCTAACAGTTTAGTCTATTAAAATATTGACAGTTTCCATGTCATTGAGCAATCAGATTATTATTATATCACAAAACCAAAGTGAGAAGTATCAGAATGAGGAGAATAAGGACATCAGATTCAGTAACTTAAAAACAGTAAAATGTGGTTTTGGGGGCTTAGTTTAGGTGTAGGGTCTTAAGTATTTCTTCCATTGTGGTCCCATCCCACTACCGTGATTCAGATTTCTTTTTGGTGTGGACAATGATCTATTTCCTAAACTATCTTTCTGGACTCTAATCTCTAACTCAAACTTCATAATGCCACCAGATAGGAACAAGTTTCTCTTTCTCAAAAACTTAATTGTGCACCAGTGACACCAGAATTGCAAACTGGTTAGTGTGACCTTCAAGGCCCTCCAAAATGTGTTTGTTTGAAGTTTTATTTTCTAGACAGATCCAGTTACTACCTCACGCTTCAGGCCCATGACACACTTTCACACGTACATGGCCTATGCACATGAAGTTGACTCCCTTCTTCCTATACTTACCTTCAGAACCAGGAGTTACCATTACAGACAAGGTTCAGGATCCACCTAGTCTTTGGAACAAAGGTAACACACCTTCAAAAGTCCAGTAATGAACTAGCAGCCAAACCCTATCCATTCACACATTTATTCAATGCCTACTATGGTCTATGTGTTCAAAGATGAACAAGACACAGTTCCTGCCCTTCAGAGGTTCAAAATATAGTGTAAAAAACAGATGTGTAAACATGTAAGTGGTAAGTGCTGTAAAATGAACAATGCTATAAAAATATATTTGTGAAGCATGTTATATTTGCGGTTTCAAGGGTCAAAATTTAAAATCAGTAATAATTCTTTGGAAATACTAATAAGGATTTTATCTTTTAAATGTCTATTAAGGGATGCCCTTAAAAATTTTAAAACATTATCCCATTCAAATCTTATCATGTTGAATGTGAAGAATCAAGACCTTTAGAACTATTACTTTAAAAGGTAAAACAAAACACTAATCTTTGTTGTAATTCCTGCTTTATATACATTGTTTTGGAGTTTTATGTCTGTTTCATAACTGAAGAGAACTTTACGTAACTTACTTTTGTTCCTGAACCAAATGCAATTTATATCTTTTTTCCGTTAGCTTTTCCCTTTTCATATGCTGTGCTTCAATGTTACCCATGATAACCAATCTCTGTTCAACTATGAGTCTTCCCTGTGTTTAGAATTCATCTACATGTAAATCTGGAATAAACACAGATAAATATTCTCAGAGTTCAGAATTCAGTTTCTATAAAAATTCAATCCATAAGAAATATAATGGGCTCAATTTTCCCTTACTAAGTTTATTTTATGTTTATTTATTTTTGAGAGAGAATGCACATGAGCAGAAGAGGGGCAGAAAGAGACAGGGAGACAGATTCCAAAGCAGGCTCCTCGCTGTCAGTGCAGAGACCTACATGGGGCTCAGACTCACGAACTATGAAAACATGACCCAAGCAGAAGTCAGTCACTCAACTGACTAAGCCACAGGCACCCCTCCCTTACTAACTTTAGAAGCTAGAAGACTGTACAGCGTTTGTACTCTTTTCTATACACTTTTGAAAGATATGTAGAAATACGTGATTTCTATATGTGTACTCCCAGCATGAGGATGGTGAGAGTGATGAGTATATGTCCTCTACAGGGTATGTGTTTTAACTCTGCCCATGTCCACAGATGTTCCTAGAGCCGGACCTACTTTAAGTGAAGAGTGTGGCTCCCAGAGATGGCACATTCATTCTGTTTAGGAGGGGTGAGTGCCTGTGCCATTGGGCCTATGCCATGTTTATTTATAGGCCTTAATGATAGAGTTAATCTGAATGTTTAAACCTTTTCAGTGTTTTGTCCTTCCTTGTAGCTCACTATTAATTTGGACTTGTCATTTGTAATACTAATCCAGAAGTGATCCTTCTAATCAAATATATATTGTTTAACATATCTGGAAATATATTTTTAGAGTACTAGTTTTATCACAAGTATGGCAACCTAACACATACAGGCCAATCCTGTTTGCATGTATAATGCTTCCTGCTCCTAAAGTTGTCACCAAGTTTCAGACTTAAGGCCTCTGACAATCCCAGTGTTCTTTTACCCATTCTGTGTTTTAATTATCACCTCTACAGACTTTCCCAATTATTTGAAGTATAAGTCCTACTCTTGAAAAGTTTACCTGATGTTTTTATCTGCATATCCTGATATGACTTTAAATTCACATTTCCTCCCAAAATAACTCCCCCTCCAGATTTTCTTATTTCTATCAATGATAGTATAATTTTTCCAACCAGAAAATTGACTCACCCTTGCTCTATGCCTCTTGCATTAATCTTTTCTATTCACACTCTCTTGTCCTTAGTTCAGAATCTCACTTCATATCTAAGCTAGTATAATAATGTCTCCTTATTCTTGGTCTCTCCCTTTTCATTTATCTCGCAGAGTATTAGATAAATCTTCTGAGTAACTTGCACAAGTCTCTTCCCTGCTCAAATGCTTTCAATAGCATTTAAACTTTAAATGCTTTAGACTTCTGGGTATGGTATTTAAGGTCCTCTACAATCTGACTAGTCTACCTCTTTAACCAAAACAGTCTAAACATTCTATCTTGTGTATAAGACATCCCCAAAACAAGATTATGATTTGAAGGGCTTGTTCTTTTGTTAATCAAGTTCAGTAACAGGTAGATGTTAAGCTTTATAAATCAAAAAGAAAGAGAATAATGATGGAGCAAGGTCTCTCTGGAGGCATTCAATACTACGATATTCTCTGTTAAGATCAGTTCTGTTGTTAACAAGAGCTATATTAACAAAGTATGAAATTGAACTAGAAAAATAATCTGCCTAGGAATTACTTAATGAAGGCAACTTGAATGGAGAAAAAAAACTTATGGCAGACTGTTTTAGGAAAAAGCATAAAATCTTCATCAAGTTTTCTAGGAAGATACATTCAAAGAACAACCCTAAAAGTGGAAAAACCTTTGCAATTATGTAATATAACCAAGAAATTTTCTAAATTAGACAACTGAAGGCTAAAGGAATTGTATGACTTATCCACAGTTTACATATGACGCAGTGTATTCATAGCTGGTTTCTGAAACTAAGTAAATGCAGAGTTACTGAGGTTTTTACCACATGCTGGACAGTGTGCTAAGTGCTTGACTGGTATTACCTCATTTAATCCTTGCTTCAGTCTTTAGAACTTCAATAAACCTTATTTTACATTTGAGGGAAATAAATCACTAAAACTCTTTCTCTAAATTCTTGATCTTTAAGCTTCATTGTTCACTTTTGTTATATAAACCTGCCTTCTTCATCTGGAAATACTTCTTTTCTTTACCTTACTTGAATACCTAATTCACCACTTTGGAAAAATTGCTGGTTTACCTAAAATAATTTTAAATATATTTTCACCAGTGACTTATAAATGATTCATGCTAATATGAGTTATTTTACATAGTTTTTCTGACCCAGGAGTTTTAGTAAAATTTTCACTAAAAATTTAGTAAATTAAAACATTTTGTTCACTTTTAGATGACATTTTGTTCACTTTTAGGTGAAAAGTTCTAATATGACACTGCTTTAAAAAAGAGAAAAAGAAAAAAAACAAAAACAAAATAAAACCTCAGAAAAGGCAGGTGTATGTATAATCACCCCAGAAGACTGAGTAAAATAACACAGTGAACTCAGGGTCACTTGTCTGAAACCTGCTGATGTGACAAAAAGAGACTTATCAGTACAACACCGTTTCTTAAAGTCCTTGGAAAAAAGGGTAAAAATGAATGAATGAATAAATAAGTGCCAGAGTTGAGGAATTAGACAAGCATTGACTAGTCTTTCAAAAAGTTTGGTGGTTAAGCTAAAGAAAAAGGGTGGCAGATTGAGGTGTTTGTTTGTTTAGTATGGAGGAGAAATGTAAACATGTATGAGCTGAGGGAAGGAGTCTGGACAGTGAGGGATTAAACAGACAGAAAGTATAACTGACAGAGCAGGGTCCCAGAGGAAGCCTTTGTTCTATAAGATAGCATTTTCGTAAGTGACAGGATTGACAACTACATAGGCTGATATATTATGCCATGAAAATGGCTGAAGTTTGAGAATTTGGGTAATGTTTAATAAAACTACCCCTTTAAAAAAAATTATGAGTCTAAATACAAAATTCAAAATCATAATTTTTTAAAAAGTAGGTAATTCCCTACATATGACTATGTTTATCTTTGAATTATTATTATTTTTTTTACGTTTATTTATTTTTTGAGAGACATGGAGAGACAGAGCACAAGTTGGGGAGGGGCAGATAGAGAAGGAGACACAGAATCTGAAGCAGGCTCCGGGCTCCGAGCTGTCAGCACAGAGCCCGATGTGGGGCTCAAAGTCACAAACTGTGAGATCATGACCTGAGCCGAAGTCGGACACTTAACTGACTGAGACACCCAGGCACCTCTATCTTTGAATTACTAAAACAGTGTTTCACATGGGGCACCTGGGTGGCCCAGCTGGCTATGTGTCAGACTTTGGCTCAGGTCATGATCACGGTTCATGAGTTCGAGCTCTGCGTCGGGCTCTGTGCTGACAATGTGGAGCCTGCTTTGGATTTGGTGTCACCCCTGCTCTCTGCCCCTCCCCTCTCACGTGCTCGCACGTGTTCTCTCTCTTTCTCTCTCTCAACATTAAAAAAAAAACAAACAACCCACCAGTGTTTCACATATAGCAGATAAATGAGTGAATTGTTTGTTATATGATGAAGCATCATAAAATAAAATATTTATTTTTTTAAAGACACTTATACTTACTACAGAATGAAAATATTCAGGAGAGATGCCTTCCAATTCAAGGATTTTATCCTCAAGTTTTTTAATTCTCTGATAAATGTCTCTTGGCACTGGACCACCTAAATACATTTAAAAAAATTCTGAGATTCTATTGAATAATTCTTCTTACAATATTTATTCTTAAAATACTATGCAGAGAAACTTGTGCAGAGGAATGGGAAATATTTAAGCCTCAGAAGATAACGAACAAGAGTAAAATAAAATGAAATCCTTAGCTCATATTTTTATGTTATACACTGTGGGATATATTATATTACACCTCTCCCCAAGCCCCATTTATGCTTCCTATATTTCTAGAAGATTTGTTATATGTTAAATTTATTACATGCTACTGAATAGTTCCTGTATCGGACAATTTGTACTTCTGACAGATTTTGATAGTTACTTGTGAGGAGAAAAATGCATGGGGACCACAGACAGTTCAATTTGGTGATTGCAATGTCTTTATCACTTTCAAGTTATATTTCTCCCTACATGCCACATTTTCCCCTTTAACCTAAAAGAATGTTTAGGAGCTTCATCATAATTCCTAACAAACTTTCTGTGGAGGGGGAAGATAAGTTAAAGTTACTCAAATTTCAATGTTATGATTATATCCCAAATCCTTTTATTTCTCAGTACATCAATGTGACCATTTTGTCTACACCCCCACCATCTCTGTCTGGATTACCACAACCTCCAAACTGGACTTCTTGTTTCTGCCTTGCTCCCAGTCTGTTCTCAACACAGCAATGATCTTTTTAAAACGTAAGTCAGATAGTGTCATTTCTCTGCTCAAAACCTTCCAATACCTTTGCATCTCACTCAGACTAAAAACCAGAGCCTCTACAGTAGTATATAAGGTCCTAAACAATTTGGACATTCTCCCCACACCTTTATCATTCTAGCCATTTGGTTCCTTTTTTTCTGTTATTTGAGTAGGCCAAATACTCTCACAGCTTTAGCACCTGTGGTTCCCTACACAAAGCTTTCTTTCACCAACTTTAGGTCTGGGCTCAAAAGTTACCTTATCAGGAAGGACTTCTCTGACCACCCTTTAAAAAATACCAACGCTAAACCTCCCCACAGACACACTCCCTATTCTTTCCCTTATTTTATTCCAAACCATTACTACCACCTCCATATATTACTACTACAGTCCATATATTTTGTTTTATTGCCTGTTTCTCCACTTTTATGTGAGCTCCAGGAGGGCAAAATTTTGTTGTGTTCATTGGTATGGCTGTGCAGCTTGTGCACTGCACAAACCTAGGAATCATCAGTTCACAAACAGGTGCTCAGTATTTACAGACTGAACGAATATATAATTAGATAATCATTATGCAATTAAAGCATACAGGCAATTTTCTATCAAAAGTATCAACTTTTGTTGAAGTATGAAAACTCTAGAAATGGGTTTCTTTTTTCAGAATTTTTTTATCTTAGGATCTTGGTTGTTCTTGCTCTTGAATACAGCAAAATGAATAACTTATTCAACTGACTTTGCTCTTGCTGCCCCCTTTACCTAGAATGTCCTCTGCCTCACCTCTGTATCTTTCAAGAGTCAGTTCAAACTTCACTGAATCAGTGAAGCACTGCCTCTCTTCATATGGAGGCTCCTTGTGCCCCACCATGTCCTTCCTTCATAGCCCCTGTAACATTCCACTTCAGCATTATTCTTTCTCCCAGACTGTGAAGTTCTTGAAGCTAAGGACCGCAGCTATATCATTTCAGTCCCCCTTGTGTCTAAAATAGTACTTGGCACATAGTAGGCACTCAACAGATACTTTTCATAATTAACTTCTTGATACTATTAGACTTAATAAGCCAATCAATCCTTTTATCTAGTTGTTTTTTTAAATGAATTTACTTCTGGGGGAGGGGTTAACATTTAATGCTAATCTCTTATTACCCTAAAAGATTTACTCCTTCTCATCTTCTATCTTCTATTTCTATCCGGCAAATACTCCAGCTAGACTGGACTCAGAAATTCCCTAACCATATTTTTGTGCCTCAGTACTTTTTGCACACGGTGTTCCCTCTTTTTGGAATAATTTGCTCCTGCCTGCTGACAAATTCCTGCTAATCCTTCAAGGATGCAAATAACACTTCACCAGGGATACCATCTCTTGATTTCTCCTGAGAGTTCTGACACTAACTTTGTGCCCACTGTATTTTGCATACATCTGAAAAGGGAAATGAGCAATCGTTCATTTAAAAACCTCTTGAATACCCGTTTTTTGCCAGACACTGCGCTAAGCACAAAGTAATGAACATGGCAGACAGTTTGCTCTCACAGACCTTACTATCTAGCAAGGGACATAGATATTAAACAAACACAACTGTGCTAACTGCTGTAAAGGAGGGCAGGGAGTACCACGTGCTACTGAGACTACATGAAAGGGCAATCCATAACAGTCTGGGATCAGGAGGGGAAAGCATGGGCATAAGAAAAAGCCTTGGTAAAGGCCCTAAGGACAGCAAAATGAGTAGGAGCTGGGAAGCCCAGAGGGGGCTGGAACTGTAGGAGTACATCGTGCTATTTAAAATTATAATCCCCTCCCATCCTAAGCTCCTTTCTCTTCTCTTGGTCAACCTGCTTTTCTCTGTAGCTCTTCTTGTGTAGCATATAATTTATTACCAGAATTTTTGTTTACATGTATTCTCAGTGCCTAGAACAGTACCTGGCTTACAGTAGGAACTTAATACCTATTTGTGGAATGAATATATAAGTACTAAGTTTGGTATGCATGTAAGGCCAACAGGAAACCATTAAAGAATTTTTAACTGGGGAGCAGCAAGATCAGATTTGAGCTTCAGAAAAAGCAGTTTGGCCATTGGTCCAGATTTGGTCTTGAGGAAGAAGAGAAAAAAGACTAGTGGCAAGCAACCAGCAAATATCCTTCCATCCGTCTCAGGCAGAGAACAGCGACTTCAACTAGAGAAGCAGCTGTGGAAGTAGACAGAAGTGGGTAGGTTTGAGAGATATTCAGAAGACAGAATCAACAGTTATCTGGTGACTAAATGAGAAGGGAGACTGGCTTTACAGCCAGTTAAGACTGAGGTTTGATTTCGAGTTGTCATTACTACCTTGGGACTGTTGCTTGAGCTCTCTGAACTCAGTTTCTTCATCTGACAATAACAGCACCAACACCTCACAAAGGTACTGTTAAATATTAGGTGAGTTGACATGTATAATACTTTGAGTGACTGGCACTTAGTATTATTCAATAAATGTTAGTTCATTTCCCCTATGGTATTTACTTAGTTATATGCTTCTCCTCACTGAAAGATCTTTGGGGACTAGGATCACATTTATCAATACTTGGTACCTAGCACAGTGGGTGATAGTCGTGGTTAAGTTATGACACTGGTGGCAGGAAAAAGACTACATTAATTTTCAGCCATGACTTTAATAAACTGAGAGTGTCAGGATCTATTTGGAATCTGTTCCCTTTCTACTAACAGTCTCAAATTGGTGAGAAGTGCAAGAGGAGGGAGAACCTGAACACATGAACTGTAGATTCCTTGAGAGTAGAGACTATGCTTTGTTCATTTTCATACCAACCAGAAGCATGTTTTGTACGTGGCAAGTGCTCAATGAAAATTCTGTGACTCAATAAATTGTGTAGTTTAACTACTTGCAAAGGTACCTTGTTAGGGCACTGCCCAGCACTCTGCTTACCCGTCTGCAATCGCAAGTGAGCCTCAATATTTTGTAGTCGTTCTTCTACAGCCTGATTACCACAATCTCGGAGCATGCTGTTAGGTTTATGACCTGACCCTTGAATTCCTTCAGGTCTAGTCTGTGGTCCATATGTATTCACAACTCTAGAAACTAAATTAAGAAACTTTGAAATGTAAATTTAATACGCTCCAAAGTCAGATATTCTATCTCCCTAACAGTACTTTATAAAGACCATCTAACCAACCCAAGTATGAAGGCAAGACTTTTTTTGTGTTTTAAAATAAACAAAATTTAGATAGGAAGGTGATTTCTATTCCATTTTGTTTATAATTGAGAATAAACTTCTGTCAGTGATGAAGATATGTAGTGGATACTTACCTTTTACATGACTTTTAAATCCCGGGTAAGGAGTAAAAATGGCATCAGTTCTTGCACAACTGTTTTCTAAGGAGAATTCAGATGAGTATAAGTTTAAATATATTCCTTGCTAAGTGAAATAAGCCATACAAAGAAAGACAGATACCATGTTTTCACTCTTATGTGGATACTGAGAAACTTAACAGAAACCCATGGGGGAGGGGAAGGAAAAAAAAAAAGAGGTTAGAGTGGGAGAGAGCCAAAGCATAACAGACTCTTAAAAACTGAGAACAAACTGAGGGTTGATGGGGGGTGGGAGGGAGGAGAGGGTGGGTGATGGGTATTGAGGAGGGCACCTTTTGGGATGAGCACTGGGTGTTGTATGGAAACCAATTTGACAATAAATTTCATATATTGAAAAAAAAAAGTTTAAATATATTCTTAACTTCAACTATATGAGATTTTGATAAACTTCCAATAATTCATATTAACATGCTACTAATAAAAGAATTATCATTTCAAATAACAGTAATTAAATTACCATCTTATTCAGGATAAAACTTAGTGACCTTTACCCTCTAAAATTTATAAGCTTTAATCGTACCTAATTTTTACATTTATAGAAAGAAAAGTCCTCAGCATTCAGTGGCATAATTTAATATAATTTTTTAACAAATACCAATATCCACCCAAACCATCTGGACCTTTGGAGAAAATACTTTATATATTATAGAAAACATTTTAATTTTAAGCCAAAGAGACTTTATTCCCTTTATTTCATCACAGAAATAAATAGAACTCATTACTTTTACCGAAATGCCTTTTAAAAAAATACAGCATTTTGATATTACTTATTGGTCAAATTAGCAATCATCTAATAAAAAGGATTAATTATACATTTAACACATTTTAATTTCAGAATCCCAAAAGCTATCTATCTCTTTCCAGACTGTTCCTGTCTAAAGGTACAATTTTAGGAAAAATAAGTTGTAAAAATTTGTTCCAATTTTTTTCTAAGCTGAAAGGCATAGCTTTCTTTTTTTTTTCTCAAATTAGGTATCAAAAATTAATTACAAACCCAGGGGAAAACTGGAATAATGTTAACCTAACATGAATAAATTTGAAACATAAATGTGTCAATTATGAAATTACACTTAAAATGACATTAAGCCATGCACTGCAGTAAATTTCCTGAAAATTTCCCCTTATAATAAAAAATAGATGGTAAAAGAGATATTGAGGGAAAATTCTTTTTTTCCCTATGGAAACTGATTTTCAAAAAAAAAAATTTTTTGTTTCAGTCAGATTGACAGGTATCAAAGGAATACACGAACACATTATAATACATTCATATTTTTTCAGTCTGAGTTTCCTTAACAGTTCTGCTGACAAATTAAATTATGTGAATATTCTAAATTTACCTTTTATATAGATAGTAAACAGAATCATTTTCTTTTTCTTTCCTTTTTTTTTTTTTTTTTGAGATACCTCAATATACGTTCAAAGGGCCATCACTTCTCCATTCTTTTTCTAACATTTCATGGGGCTAAGGGTTAAAAAAAGAAGCTATCATCCATTCCAGAGTTATATTCCATGTATATAGATTAACTGACCCATCAGTGAGAAATTCAGCATGGTGTGAAGATAGTGAATGTATGAGTGCTAGCCACTCTTCACAGCAATTCTTGCTAGCACTGTTTTGAGCCAGCAAGGGATTGAATGGGCCAAGGAATCCTGCTGAGCATTTCAATTCTTGTCAATTTCTATCCCCTGGTGGTTTATAATAATAGAGTTAGCAGGGAGAACAGAGGAATAACATTAGTGACACATGTGCTTGTTCCCTCAACAAACCCTTTCTCATGGGTTGCTTGCAGTTGGATGGATTGCAATACCTGAGATTTTGCCACTATTGCACCTGTTCTGAAAAGCTAACAGGAAAATTTACTAAGTCTAGAGATATGCATGTATAATGTTAATAGCAGAAAAGGCTGAATTCAGGACCCACTTGAGCCTGTATTATTTCATTATTAAGAGAATCAGTATACCAATGTAAGTGTCAATTCTAGGTTCATCTCACAATTCTGTACTCATAATAATTAGCTAAGAGATGGTAGAGGCAACAAGAAAAATGTTCATTCCAATTAGGAACTCTTCTCCATAATTTTTTCTAAGAACTACTTGTTCTGATTATTACTATGATGCCTGAGTAAGATCTATGCCAGTGCTTTGCAATATTTTGTATACTGCAGCATACCTGCAGATTTGTAAATATACTATAGCACCAAGTGGAAAGGAAAAGGAGAATCTGATAAAAAGAACAGCAAATGCATGCACTGTGAGAGAAAGGAAGAAAGCATAAGACACCACAGTCTTCATGACAATTTTTTTTATCGTGACAGAAAACATTTCAAACAGCTCATGAGTAGTGAGAAAACTGCTCCCTCTTGAGGAGTATTAACTTTACTAAGTTCACTTTATGTATTAACATCATAATTTCAAAAGTACATTTACAGGCTTGAAATTTATATAGCTTAGTTCCTTCTTGGGAGACTAAGCAACACTGCCACCCACACTTCATCTTCATTTCTAAAGGAAATTTAAAAGAATCTTCACCTGTGGTAGCCCTTGTGTGTAGCATTTGATCTTTGCATAACTAAAATGAAACCTGTTTTTGCAATGTAGTGTATTATTAAACAGAAAGAAATTCTGCTGCCTTAGCTTCTAAATAAACCTGTGAAATAAACTGGTTTAATGTTATTCATTTTTAAATTTTTTTTTTTTTAACGTTTATTATTTTTGGGACAGAGAGAGACAGAGCATGAACGGGGGAGGGGCAGAGAGAGAGGGAGACACAGAATCCGAAACAGGCTCCAGGCTCCGAGCCATCAGCCCAGAGCCTGATGCGGGGCTCGAACTCACGTAGTGCGAGATCGTGACCTGGCTGAAGTCGGACGCTTAACCGACTGCGCCACCCAGGCGCCCCATGTTATTCATTTTTAAAAACAAATGAAAAATCAGAGCAACTGTAAAAACTGTGCTTAAAATCCTATGAAAATTAACTTCTTCGAGGTAGTTACCTTGATTACAATCAATAACATTGCAAAATTCCCTCACGTTGTTTTCATTGATTTCAGCTTGCTTTCTTTCAATAAATGCAGATATTCGTCTGTCAATCTACAAACAATAAGTATGCATGTTTTAACAATTCAAGCATAAGATTTTAAAAAATAATACCCCCCCCCCCAAAAACCAAAACTTCTTACTTCTGCTTTTCCAGCCTTTATTTGAACTACTTCTGGATCAACATGGATCTGTGTCTTTTTCACATCTCCTAAATCACAATCTTTGTGCTTTTCTTCCTCTTGTAGGTCACTAATGGGAAATTTGGCATTTACTTCATTCTTATTCCCCATTTCTGTTTTTTCTGTCCCTCCAACAACAGTTGTATTCTCCTCTTTAATCAGAGGCTGAAGTTTTGCTAAAAAAGGCTGAGAAAAACACAATTCCATCTGCAGAGGTTCAAACTAATCAAAATTAATTACACATTTAATATATTTATATAAATTTCTGCTAAGTAAATGCAATATTTAATATCAAACAAAATATAAAAAGTTGGCATATCAGGATACATAGATCTGATCACATGTGTTTGCTGTTCTCTGCTATTGTGACCATTATCATTTGCTATAAATCTGTTTGAAAGAAAGAAAGAAAGAAAGAAAGAAAGAAAGAAAGAAAGAAAGAAAGAAAACAAACCTGAGGAAATTTAAAATTTTCTTTGAGGGAATCATTCTGTCACTCATCTTTTATTTTGTGCCAAATCAAAGCCTCAGCCTCTGGCACCAATGCCACTTAATTAACATGTCATTCAAATGCCTCCTCAGAACACTAAGGCTTAGTATTTTTCCTCCTTAACATGAGAGCCAGTGCTCTCACTCAGCAAAGCCCTGCATTATCACTGTATCACTGGAGATTCTCCACTTGAAACTGCAGTTGGCCAAAGTGAATGAGACAGCATAGATATGAAATATATAGGTGTTATGCTGAGTGAACACTCAGGCTTTTCCTGACATGGCAAGGTACCTTCTTGGGTCACGAAATTAAATTTTTAAAAAGAAAGTAAAAACTCCCAAGTTCCATAGCTGAAAAGAGATATGCCTATCATTCACTATACTGGAGGGAATTAAAAAACAAAAAACAAAAAACAAAAAAACCCTATTGTATAATGTAAATTATACCACTAATTCCACCCTCCACCCCCCAACAATCAGACCTCAATTGAGTTCTACAACGCATTATTTCTGTCCTTTAATCTTAGGGTTAACTATTTCAATATGAAACAGAGTTAAAATTTCCCATAGTCACTGAACAGAGGGTTGAGAATTAATGTTTACTCCATTAATCAAAACACACCAGTACTGGTCAATGTTCCAGTTATTTTTTCATACCTATAATTTTGCTTCTGTTGTTTACTATATACCAACTATTCTTCTGAAACCTTATAACATCCTAATAGCAATAAAATGACCAATCCAAACAGTTCTTCCACTTACCTTTTGACACTTCATATTATATACTTTGATTAGAGATAAACTGCAAACTTAACATCAGTTATAACTGCAGAGATGTTCAGCTGGAAACTAGCAAATAACTAGTTATTAAACTGAAATATTATAAAATATAGCAATACTATTATAAATAATTCAATGTTGACTTCTAATATAAGGGATGAATTATTTCAAACTGTTAAGAAAAAGAAAAGATAAAATAGTGACTGGCTACTTACTAAGATGAGACATTAATGTCACAGAAATTACTTTCTTTTTAAAAAGTATGCTGAAACTGTTTAATTGCAATAGACACTCCAGGATGTGTCATGCTGGGATAATGCCACTTCTTGAACCACTGAAAGCACTCCATGAGCCTCCAAACTCACCCAAGGCATGGAATCATTATCATAGCATGACACACACCTGCCGTGTCTTATTGCTTAATTATAACCCACCATAGATGCTACTGTATTGAATTTTCGGCACAAGTCTAGAATTGAATAGAATTGCATTCATTCAGTCTTCATAGCCACATTGGCCTATTGGACTATATTCCTGAGACTGTCCAGATCACTATGGAAATGAACGGATTTAGATCTAATCTGGCTGAAGTAACCTTTTACTGATAACACTATTAATACAGTGTTAAGATGGACCTGACAAATACTCTAGCTTATAATTTAACTGCAATTAATTTCTATTCTCAATACTGAATTAACATTTTTAACAAGAAATTTACCTGTAAATATAAAACATGTTGTTCAAGTGCACTAAAGATCAAAGTGGGCTGGAATGCCGAGAGGCTCTGGAGCTTGTTCCAATCGATTGTAATTTTCACCACATCATCTCTGAGGTTAAGCTTCAAAGGGGCAAACCAGCGACATCACAAAAATTACACGATTAAGCTGAATATATGGGATGTCACAAAAATAATATTTCTTTAGAGTAACATGCCTATTTAGCTCAAAGTTATCAGGTTTTTAATGATACATTAAAATGCTCTACCTAGTTACCATTTTAAAAGGCCAAGAAAGGTGCAATTTTTATAGAAAAAAATCACAATGACATCTCATTCTAATTTTATTCTTGGGTCTGTGTAATGGGACCATCTCACAGATGAAACTGTCCAGGAAAGATGGAAAGATAAGGCTTTTTTTGATACTTCATTATCTAAAACCTTTGGATGAGAGGCAAGAAAGACTTGCCCTTTTCAGTACTTCTAGCTCAGAACATTAAACAGAAGGGGCAGGTACATTTATGCAAGTTCTGATATAAACATTTCTTTTTGTTAAATATGTACATAAAAACATAACTGGCATACATCATTACTCTGATGTTTTCTGAATCACATTTTTATCATTTTCAACTTTAACCAATTTTTAAAATAATTTAAAACTCAAGATTATTCATACATATTATAAAATCTAGGGACAAACTGCAGCATGTTTATTTACTTCAAATAAAAAAAACAATTACTTAGCTGTGGAATCTGAAGTGAAAAACAAAAACTTTTCCACAACACTGGCCAAATCTTTGGTTAAATAGTATTTTCTAGTATTGTGTGAGGGCTTATCATATAAAACTTCTTATAAGTTGGCTATGTGTGACCTGTTAGAATAAAATTATATACAGAAAACTACCAAGAACCCGAATATAAAATTAGTATCAAAATTAGTGAAAATTTTAGAAGGAAAGCTTCCATATTTAGGCTCTTAAGTAAATAAAAGTGAACCATAATAAACTTTTCTAGGGACATGTGTTTATAGCATACTATAAAGATATGCTGCATCGTAGAATTATTTTTTCAGAAACCATTTATTAAAAGTCCTATTTTGTACAAAATAAAGGCAAGTGTTACATTAGTTCAAATACAGATGTTATGAGTTGTGATTATAATAAAACAAAAAGATGAATCACTGAATAAAGAACCAGAGACCCAAAGTTACCAAAAAGGCACTATACTCAATGAATACTATATGACAAAAATTTACCACCCCCACCCTTTGCATGAGACAAGAAACATTTAAGGTCCATATTAGATACGTATAAAGAAATAGAAGTTTTGTATAGACTGCATTGGCAAAGGTTAGTTTATGTTAACTAAGGTTTTACATTAAGATTACTGCATTAATCTTAGTTTATATTATTTAATGCCTGTAAAAATTTCATTAGACAACAACTTACGTATGGAAGTAAACTATTACTGTACTTCTACAGTCCTGTAAGAGATCTATAGTTGATAATAAATTTATGTGTTATTCATAAGAGAGTTATCCCTAAACACTAGTTATAATAGAGTTTAGGGATAACACAGATAAATCCTCAACCAAAGCAAAGCATCAAATTTTCTAGAGAAAATAACTTATAGAAAATAAATCTTAATGTTGGGATCATATTCTCCTTTCAATTCAGCATGATTATGTAAGCCTTCCAAGCACAATTAAAAATATTTGGTCTTTCAAGAAAACCACATGATACAAATTAACTTTAAAATTATCCCAATAAAAATAAATAAATAAATAAAATTATCCCAATATATCCAACTGTTTACTTAACAAATTCCCTATTAGTAATACGAGTTCTATGCATTTTTACCCTACAGAACTTGTTATTGTAAACCATTCACTCAAAAATGTATTAGTTCGATATTAATATGGCCTATACAAATATGCATTTTCAGTAAAAACTTAAATTAATATGAAACTCCAAGCTAACAATAAATAATGCTTCAGCTTGGTAAAATGGGCCATGGAGAGGCAAGCAAGAAGGTTAAAATCAGTAAATCTGAAATCTGGGATAGAAAATACTTTTTAACATTCAATTTTGTTTCTTACTGAGGAGAGCCAACAATATAATGATACTATGCAGAATGAAATTAGGCATATTGACATTTTTTTTGAAACTTATAATTAAAAATGCAGCCTGCAAACTTGTTGCAAAAGTAAATAGTGATTTCCTCCAGGAGCAATTTGATAAGTATTGTGGCTTTCATGCTTATCTTTAAAGAATACATCTCAAAACATAAAGAGTAATATCAAAATGGTTAGCATTGTAAAAAATAGTTAGCATTTAATTGATGAGACAAGGATTTACTTTTTGACACTTGTCTAGATGGTCCCTTCACTGTGTCATGTAAACTCGCCAAATATTTACTCTTAACATTTTTGACAAGTGACATAAGTAAACTTTAATCACATCTCTATTTGTACCGTCAGAATATCTGAATGTTTAAATTTTTTAAATGAGTTGTAAAAATTCAGTATGCAAAATATTTCAAAAGAAATGTTTAAATTATTTCTTAATGTTACTTTAAAAAATATCTCATCACTAAAAAAAAACCTTATGTAAATTATAGATGAGCAAAAACTTTTTTCATCCTGACATTTAAATATAAATAAACCTTACAATTCCAATGTCATAAAACATTCTTAAACTGTTAAACCAGTACAGGTCTTCGGTGATAAGACTAAAATATTTATGTCCCCCAGTCTTTAAAATTTTTTTAGTAAGTCCGTGGCAAACAATTGAGTTCAAAAGTTATAACTTTTATCAGATTCTATTAATAACTGTTCCATTACACCAAACTAATGTTCAACTTGGAGTAGTACTTTTTGCAAGTCGCGACATGTTAGAATTTCTTTTAAATACTGAAATACTTTTAAAAAAATGTATTCTCTATCTACTCACGGCTTTTTAAAATAATGTTTTACCAATCAGACAAATGATCCATTTTTATAAAGGAAGATAACATTATCTTCGACACAAAAGTCTGCTACCCGCACTAGTACCAACCCCACAACAAACATTTAGAGCTAGAAAATATTCCATCTAAAATATGAGAAAAGATTTCCTTTTTAAAAGCAAACAAACGTATTTTCAAGTGTTTCTCATTTAAAATATGCTTTGCATTTTACTTCATGAAACGAAATAGTCACTTAATTGTAATAGAGTGTAGGGAGTACTTTTATTTAAGCCCAATTTATTATGATATATCTGCAGAGGTTATTTATTAGTCAGTTAAGTTAGTTAATAATTAAATGACGATTAAACAACAGTTCCCGATGCAAACTGTTGTCAACCGTGGCTAACTCATCCAACTTTATGCAAGAAGTATTTAGATTAATTCCTTTTATTTTCCTCCTTGTATGAAAGGGTAAGAGATGCACACAACGACCAGAAGGAAAAAAAGAAAGAAAACCAAGTGACTCATTACAGCAAATCACTCAAAAAAGGCTGAGAGCTCTTTTCCAAAACTCTCAGGCCGCACTAGCCTATCAATTTCAATAATGAATGGACTGAAGGAAAGAGAGTCCTACGCGCCAGGCGCCTTCCCAACCTACACAGCTTTTTACACATTCATTCTCTCCAAACATATTCTCGGAGCCGGGTTTTCCACTTACACTCTCCTCTCTCACTCTTGGGGAGAAGAGTTGCAAGGAAATCTAGTCTGCAACCCATCCTGAACTAAGTCCTTACGGCCATCCTCGCTCCGACCGTAGGCTGCTGGGCTCGGGCTCCTCCTCCGGCCTCAGTTACTCAGGACGGATCCCGGCCGCGTCCTCGGCTCCCCGCCTCCGCTAGAGGAAAAAAGGGGGGAGGGGCCGGATAGTTCCCATACCCCTACTCCCACAGACCACCACTCACTTGTCCCACCAGGCTATGCAGAGAGCGAAAGATTTCGCAGAGCACCTCTTGGGAGAGATTAGGGCTGCAGCTCCGTTCCAAACTCCTGTCACCACTGCTGGAGCGACTAAGCTCAGCGACAGCAGCCATGACACCTTCACAGGCTACCCCCGCCACCACCGAGTTGTGCTCACAAACCCACCCCCTCCCGCTTTCGTCTCTGGGAGATGACGTAAAAACACAGCGTCTCATTTAGACTCGGCTTTCGAGGACCCATTCTCTCGTTGTGACTGACAAGCCCGTGCACCAATCAGGTGCAGCTATAGCGTCACACCGAGGACTGGGAGCGGGGAATTGTAGACCTGAACGAGGTTGCAGAAGGTATTTGGGTTGGTGATTGGAACTGTGGTCCACTGAGTGTTAGCATCTGAAGACTGTCTTGGTTCTTAGATGTTGCTTATCAGTGATGGTAAGAGGAAACATAGTTAAATGTTAAGAGTTTTAGAAGTTAAATTTTTAAATTAAAAGTTAAAATTTTAACATGGCGCTGTGAAATGGTCTGCAGAAAGGTCGGGGATACAGCAGTGCCCACACCTGCTTCTAAACATTGGAAAACTGTTTCACATAGAATTGTCATACTTAGAACATTACAACCTTGTAGAATCTACAGGGTTGTTTAAAACTTACACAAATTAACGTCACTAATATTTCATGCGAGGGAGCGGAGGATAGAAAAGAACAGTAAGATGCTTTACTATGCCTCATTTACTATCAAGGGAATGACGTTAATTACTTTAAATCTGCAAAATAATTATGTCAAGTTTTAAAACGCGCATCAGCTGCTATTCTCTGGGTGATACTGTAGAGACGCTCACCCTAAAACTTTCAAAGTGAGACACTGTCAATACAATTCTAACCCTTTAACCCAAGTAATTGCCTGCAACACAATCTTTGGAATTAGAAGGAAGGCATAAATCCGAATTGAAATTTGACAGAGTATTATTCATCAGATTTATTAAAACATATTTGAAGGACTTTCAATCTTATAGTCAGAGTCTAACATTAAAAAGTTTTGTTGTCCAGTTGAAGAACACAAATTTTAGAAGAATTTTTAATGTTAAGCTCTATTCAAAAACAAAACACATCAGTGTAGAGATAAGGGATGAGGGATTTAAAATTCTTAATTCTAATAGTCTAATGCATCTACAGTAGAGAAAGCAAAGGTGGAAACTTGCACAATATGTATTCTTCAGTTTTAGAGTAGGCTGAATGAAAAGAGCAGAATAGGCATCAAGAAAGTGGAATAGGGGCAGTAGGGATAAAAGAACGCCTTTGACCTGTCCCTTGGGAGCCTCTTAATTAGGCTTTCATTTCCAAAGATCAGGAGGCTTGACAGGATCTTGAGAAATCCTGTCTGTTTCCTTGTTCACAGCAAGATATACAATTTATAATCCAGCCTATGTCTAGAAACATCCAGAGAAAGATTTCACAATGTGTAATCCCAAATTGAGCAACCTTCCGTACCTAACTCATCTCCATACCTAACCTAAAATCACGATTCTTTGCAATGCTAGCATTTTTTGCCTTAGGTCTCTTTTCAAGGAGAATATAAGAGGGTAACTAGAAATTTTTGTTTTGTAACAAATTAGCAACCAGTTTCAGATCATTTCTTTTCATCTAGGTGTGAACATTTTGTTGTTGTTTTGTTTTTGTGTTTGTTTTTTCCCCAATATTCAGGACACTGGTAGGAAACACAGTTGGGACCACGCTTTGTATATTATAAGAATAGCATCTTTAATTAGGTACTGCTCATTCCTGTCCATGCCATCACTGATTTTGAAATTTCAAGTTTTACTTGTTCCCTTATTCCTCTATTATAGAATTTATAGCCATTTGATTTTTATGTATGTTGTCTATTTAACTCTGTTTCAATATCCAAACTTACACTTATATCTTAGTACTGCTTAATGAGATAATAGTTGGAATTTAACTCTTTTGTGCATTATTCCTACTTTCCAGGGATCTTTCTTACTCCTTCCTGATGCTTATTACCTTCAGTTTGGAAATTTCTTATTTTCTTCTATTTATTTTAAATAGGCTGAAAAGATGTGGATTTCCTTGGGCTAACTTTAAATAGAAATACGTAGATAGTGATGTATAACAAAAAATATGATGAAAGCTATGACATTTAGAAAGGGAATAAAGAAAAAAATTTTCTCATTATAGAAGGCTAATTATAGTTTATAAAGTGGGATGCTGCAAAATCTGCTGCCTGACAGAAATGATTCAAAGTGTTGTTCTTTGTGTTACCAACAGAATTAGAAATACTGTCCTGCAAGTTTATGCTAAGAATCAGTTGAGAGGATAGAAAGTATAAATGAAATCTGGACTATCCATCTTATCAACAAAAATATGCTTTATGAAGAGCCTTAAAGGCACAACTCCATTAAATAATCCAGTGCACAGCAAAATGCCTGTAGTATTATACATGCTCAACATGTTTGTTCAATGTACATAGTACAAATTTTAACTAATGCAGCAAAAGAAAAATAAACGTTATTTATCTTCTCTGCTTCCCCATCACCTGATGGATAAGTGCAAGTTCCTTAGAATGGCATCTTAGTCTCTTCTCATGATCTGGCCTTTGCCTAAATTCGCAGCCTCATTTTCTGTCACAAACCGTCTGGTGCTAATGCTCCTGAAACTGCTTTTAGTTCTTTAGAACTTTACTATTTTTGTCTCCATGTTTTTTATTTATGCCCCCACCTCAGTTTATAAAACTCCTATTCCTCTTTCAAACTATGGCTCAGAAATCTCTGATAAGTCTTCCCTCAATTCTCATGAAGAGTTTATCTTTTCTGCTAAACTGCTCCTGCAACTTGTATATACTTTTGATTATTGTATTTATCATATTGATATTGAAATTTCCTTGACTAAGAGCCTGTCTCCCCATTGAGCCATGACCATTTATCATGTTTGTGTATTTAAGGTTCAGTATAGTACCTGTATGTCAGGTACTATACTAATTAATCAGTATATGCTTGTTAAGCTGAATTTATTTGCCTATCTAGAGTGAACAGATATGTAAATGGGAAAAAAAAACCTACAAGCTTCTATACTTGAGGGGAAATTGTAACTCATAGTAAGAATGATATGCAAATTCATTTCAAATAACAAAGCATATCTGTTTATCCTCTTCTAGAATAATGCCAATTTCAAAGTGCTCAAATTTTTCTTAATGAATAAATATAGCTAGCCTCCATAAACATTCTCATGAATGTTAGCCATACCAATTAATTGTACATTCTATGTGCCAGACACTATGATCAGCATAGGCAATATAAAGATGAATCAGGCAAAGACTCTCAAAGAGCTCCAATATTACTGGGCTAGGTATATATGTAAGCAAACAACTATGATATAGTGTGACAATGATCATTTTAGAAGTATGTATAAGATAATACAACCAGTTAATTCCTTTGAGGAAATGTTTGGGTTCAGTGTCAGGAGAAGCTCTAAACTGATATAGAATGTGGATTGAGGCTCAAATGATGAGTATAAATTCTCAATTTAGATAAAGCATAAGCAGCAACTTGAACATGCTTGGTGTGTTTTGGGAGGATATACTGAATAGAGAAGGATGGCTGAGCCAGCATTTCCCAGAGTTTGTTCTGCTGAATACTAGTTCTGTAAGATGCTTCTTTCAACAGAAGTTTCCATGGCCAAACAAGTTGGAGTAATGTTGACTAATTGTGTTGCCATGTCATGAAATGGGTCACAGTATTCCACTTCCCATTAGCAAGGAGTTCACACTACGATCAGGTCGAGGCACAACGAAACAAATTCCAGAATCCTACCTTTGAGGATTTGTTTCCTGGGACTCTCCATAACAATTTCTGAATCAGTCAAGATTTAGTTAGAAAATAGAAACCATACCTGTTACTTGAACAGAGAAAATGTTAGTAAAAATGTTATTAGGGTACATTGTTAACTCAAAAGATACCAAGAAACAATAATATATCACAATTAGCAAATTCAGGAAGCAACTAACCCCTCTAGGGCTGGGGAAGCAAAGTGAAGAGTTTGGAATTATTAAGATTTAGAGCTTAGGGGAGCATTCCTGTGGAGTTACTCAGAGAAGGAGATGGTGCTCAGCTGGGACTGGTGTCTTAAGAGGCAGGGATGTGATTAGGCTGATTTGGCAAGTGTTTAAAACTGCAAACAGAGCATCAAAGCACTGTAGTACAGCACCTTGCAGTCTAATATACATGTAATTGGGATCCCTAAAGGAGAATAGAGAGAGATTGGGGCCGAAGAAACATTTCAAGAGATAATGACTGAGAAAGTTCCAAAAAATAATGAAAGTATCAAACGACAGATCCAAGAAACCAGGCAACTCCAGTATTGATTGTATACTGCTATATAACAAATTACCCCAAAATTTAGTGACTTACAACAACAAAAAATTCTTGTCTCCTAGTTTCTTTGGGTCAGAAATTCAGGAGTGGCTTTGGTGGTTCTTTCACTCACTGGGGAGAAAGCAGAAGTCATAGTGCCTTTTAGGACCTAGTCTCTCAAGTCACACAGTGCCACTTCCATCTGATTCTTTTTGTTATAGCAAGTTATGATGTTTGGCCCATACTCAAGAGGAGAGAAATTAGGTTCCACATCTCTATTTCAAATATGAAGGAGGGGCACCTGGGTGGTTCAGTTGGTTAAGCGTCTGACTTTGACTCAGGTCATGATCTCTCTATCTGTGAGTTCAAGCCCCATGCTGGGCTCTGTGCCGACAGCTCAGAGCCTGGCGCCTGCTTCAGATTCCCTCTCTCTCTGCCCCTCCCCTGCTTGTGCTCCGTCTCTCTTTCTCTCAAAAATAAACACTAAAAAAAATATGAAGGGTAAATAAAGATTGTTTTTATGTAAACAAAATATAGTTCCTATAGTACAGCAGACCTACATTATAAGAAATATTAAAAAACTCTTTAAGGCAAAAATACCACAATACCAGAAAGAAATTTGTGTCTACACAATGAAATGAAGACCTTAACCAATAGTTAAAATAAAGTAACATATAAAAGACATCTTTTCCTTATTTTTATTTGTTATAAAGGTAACTAACTATCCAAAACAAAAATAATGGCAAATTTATTGTGGATATAGCATACATAAGAGGAATGTATAACACAAATCGGGAGGGAGCAATTGTAAGTGTACACTTGTAAGGTTTCTCCATTGTACATGGTGCAATATAATATTATATGAAAGTAGACTGTGATAAATTAAAGATGTAAATTTTAAGCCCTAAGGTAACTACTAAAATATTTTTAAAAGAAATATAATTAATAAGCTAATAATGGAAATATGAAGGAATTATAAAATAATTAATTTTAAAATGTCAGAAAAAAAGAAACAAAAAAGATGGAGCAAATAGAAAATAACTAACGGTAATAGTTTTTAATTCAACCATAT